CTCAGGCTGGTGTCGGACACTTCAAGGTGGCTCACAAAATAAGCTTTACAGGCAATGGTGCTCTCAGATGTTTAGGAGGAAAAGAGGAAGCAGGAACTGGTCTCTCCCCGAAGGGCACGTGAAGGGGTGAGGATGCTCTTTTGGGCCACCCCAGGGCAGCTGCTGCACTCGTGGTGCCCTTCCGTGGCACATCCCGCAGCTCCAGGAAGACACAGCTCCTGCTCACGAATGGAGCGTGCTCAGCTGGGATAAAAAGAAGTTATTTCTGTAAAGAGCCGTGCTCCAAACTCCTGTCCCACTTGGCACAGGCTGGCACCAGCACTGGTCACTGCTTCACAGATTGTGGGTTTTTTTCCCAGACTGAGGCAAAGCCCAGCATTGAAATATTTCTGGCGCAGCCTCCGTGACAGAGTATCAGGATTAAAGTCTGTGGACCTAATTTTTGAGCATCTAGTTAAAATATTCTCCTCTGCCTGGATCCTTGCTAAACCTGTGCTGGCAGAATAGCAGCACTGAGCTTTAGCAAAAAACCAGGACAATTTGGACAGGACTTGGAGACTGATCTAATTGGCAAATACAAATAGCTGTGAGGGGCAGGAAACTGGTTCTGTGCTATGTCTGCCTGGTAGCATCTCATGAGCTGTGAAGTGGGAGGTGATGCATCAGTGAGAGGGTGGGATGATAACAGGGAATTTGGTTCAGTCTCTAAGCATATCCAGCATGAGCTGAATGATTACAGACGTGGAAGTGAGATGAGTGTTTCTACTGACAGTAATGAATAATAACAGTCTATGGTCAGTCACTGCAGATAATAAAAACTGCACAGAAAATTCCATTCTCATGTAGATTTTGATCATTTCCCTAGGTTTTTTTAATCATGAGACAGCAGTGGTGATGGGTGGTGCAGAAAAGAAACAAAGTGGGAAAACTGTCATATAATCATAGGATGGTTTGGGTTGGAAAGGACCTTAAAGACCATCTATTTCCAACCCCCCTGCCATGGGCAGGGACACCTTTCACTACACCAGCTTGCTCAGAGCCCCATCTGACACTTCCAGGGATGGGGCAGCCACAGCTTCTCTGGGCAACCTGTGCCAGTGCCTCACCCCCCTTCCTGGTAAAGAACTTCATCCTAACATTAATCTAAACCTACTCTCCACCAGTTTGAAGGTGTTGTCCCCTGTCCTGTCACTCCATTCTCTTGTGGGATTGGGTTTTTTTTTAGAGTTCCCCTTCTTGGTTAGTTAGAACCATCAGCTGGCATCTTAAGTGACAGACGCCTCTTATTTTGCATCCAGCTAAAAAAAAAATAAATGTCAGAGCTTGTAAGCAGAGTGATGCTGTGCAGCGAGTGATCGAACCTGACAGGTTTATTGAGATTGTTTGGTGTTTGTAAAGCACTTAGAATGGGTTGAGAAACAGCAAAAAGAATTCTTCCAGACAAGTCATTTTACATCAAGTTTTAGTCATAAACACACAAGTGCCCTGCAGCTGTGCTGATTCAACTTTATTTAATAGGAAACCGTGCACAAGAATCAATAAAGGTTACTGATTTGCACCCAGCATGATAAACTACGTATATTTTGTAGATGGCAGGGAAGAGGTTTAAATTTCTTTGCAGATTTTGCAATTTATAATGTGGAATAGGACTTATTAGAGATCAGGTTTCCTCTGAAAAGTCCTATTTAGGTTGAAACTCCTTTCCAGTGCTGTGAATTTCCAACAACAAACGCTGTTTTATCAATTAAAAAAACTGTAGAGAGAAGATTTATGCTTTAAAATTTCTATAAAGTACAAATTAACAGTTTTCCCTCTATAGTGTTTCTTAGGAACACCTACATATATATAAAAACATTAAAATTGAGTGATCTCGGGAATGGCCAAGAAAAGGTGAACCATAATGGATTTGCCCTCACTGATACTGGAGAAAGCTTCAAAAGCATAAGGTATCAGTCTGGCTTGGGCCCAACTCTTGTTGCAGTAGAACAGAAACAGGCCTAAAATACTATTTGGGACTTTTAGTAATAAATTCCCTGTGGAATTTATATTTTTGATCCTAGATGATACTTTTCATTCTGTTCTCATTTAAGTTTATCTAAACTAAGTATCAAAACCCTCTAATTGCCTTAGGAATTTAATATAACTGGAATAAACTCTCTATAGTGTACTCTGTACTTTTAACTTCACCTACATTTTATTTTGTGTGCAGTCCCTGCAGAGATGACAGATAGACAACCAGAGGAGGGATAGAATATATTAAGCAATATAGAACTAAAACTTTGATTAAAAAAAAAAAAAAAAAAAGAGGTGCTACAGAAGTCACATCTCTACATTCAATTCGTGTTTCCAGTTGCAATAATTGCCTGCACAATCATCTTCTGCACAGTGCAATTAACTCCAGGCACCTGGGTGACTTACATCAAATTCTCTGGGAGGTGGTCTCATGTGTTACACCAGTGCTTGCCCAGCAGCACAAATGGTAAAGAAAAATACAAAGAGAGACCAGCTAATGGAAAGGCATGGCCTATTATACTTTGAATTCTGCAGTTCTTATAGCAAGAACATTATATAATCCCTATGGAGTTTTACTGAAGGCTAAGAGAGACCTGCATCTGTGCCCAGGGGAAGGGAGATACAATGGGTGACCTTTGAAAGCAAATATTTGCTTCACAGTGATATAAACACTCCAGCGCAATAAATACAGGAAAATGAAAATGCTGCAGTTTACTGTGGTGAAGGCAACACAGCAATAAAATGTTCTTTTTTTTAAGCACTCTCCCTGTTATTAAAGGACACATCTATTCTTCCCGTGGATATTTGTAGCCAGAGGATGACTGCATTGGCATATTTTACTAAAAAAGTCAGAGCCAGTCAATACCAGCACATTGGCCACATCTTTCAGCACCTTCACCAACCTTCCCTGGAGGGGCTCTTGGTGTCTGGATTATAGGAAATGCACTGGCATTAACCCCAAAGCTCAGTGGAGAGCAGGAACTGCCTGCTAACACCAGCAGGAAATGAACTCACACTGCAGGTGAGACCCTGCTGCAAAATGGGGCTTAGAAACCAATGCCTGGGTGTGTTGTTGACACCAGCAGGTTCTCCCTAAAATTGTGTGGTCGAAGGCAGATCCCAAGAGAAAGCCAGGAAAGGCTGGTATGTTGGTATGACAGGCAGCAGCTGGTGAGAAATGACTGAAGGGACTTGGAAGCGTAATTTATGGATCATGGGCTCGGAGCAGTGCCCCTCACAAGCTCTAACTTTTCTGACTTCTGTCATCTCCATCTTCTTTCACCCAGAGCTTACCACAATTAATACTGTCTGTAACTAAACATGCCCTGCTTTTGCTCTTACTGCATTTTAATTGATCTGAAAGCACTTGGAGAAGAAATCAGGTGATTTTGTAATGAAAAACTCTATTTATAGGTTTTAATATGGCATCAAATGTAACAATGAAAAAGAACTGTTATTTACATTTAAACTCTAAATAGCTTTGAAGTGAAATCTTGAGGAAAGTCTGCTTTATATATCACTTCTGCAGCACGTCCTATTGCCTGGATGTAGTTAATTCACAAGATTTCCAGCAAAGTTCTCATTTCCAAAGAAACCCCTTTGTAATGTTTGTGTCACTGATTAAGCCAAGAAGCTCCTCTGTGTTTCCATAGGATACGTTATTTTTAACCCACGGCACAGACACCTCATCTCTCTCCTGCTGTTGTCCCACAGCGTGTTGCTTCAGACCTTTAGGCCCAGCTCCCCAGCCCAGGCTGGCAGAGCACAGTGATAACCAACTCCACTTGGAATTTTTACTTAATAGTTAGTAAAGAATAATTCCTACTGTTCAGGGCCTGTCAGGGAGTGACTTTGGAAAAGACAGGCACTGGGATCTTGCAAATCTGAATACAGGAGAAGCAGGTAATTCCTAGTTTGTTACTGTCTTCCTGCATTGCCTCGGGCACCTTATTTTACTCTCAGGGCTTGCTTGCTTTGCCTGCAGACAGGTCTCTGGAGCTGCGGGAGATGCTGCAGGTATTTGGTTTCCTGCTGCTGGCTCTATCTGTCAGCACCGTGCAGATGTCTTGGATACCCTCTGATGGGAATGCTTGTCCGTGTTTAACAACTGAATCTGTCTCCCATCTACACAACACAGATAAAATCCTTCTTTTCCTTCCTATCGTGCCCCTTTTTTTTTTGTTCTAATTAAATTTCAGGGCACAGACTGGCACTTGGTTTGGGGTCCAGGACAACTGGGACTTTCGGATAAATGCTAGTGAGCGTGACATCACGTTCTCTGTGTCAGAACCTATACCTATGATCAAGAACTTTCCAGTTAGAGGCCAAAATGAAGATTCTGAAGTATAATTAGACAAAATTATGACTCCTGACTATTTGCTGATGTGTCGTAAAAAATAGCTGGAAAACAGTTGTCCTATGGGCTCGTGTTGCTGTAATGACAAAAAAGCTCAATCGAGTGATTTCTGACTGTGAGTGCAATTAGGCAGCACAGAAGTGCTACCAGGGGGAATTACTTCTGGTAGACATGGGCACCTCTGTCCCCGGTGTCCCCTGATCTCGAGTGGCTAAAGGATTGGGACTGTGGGTATCCGCAGCGGCCAAGCGGCACACGGGGTGTGTGGGCACAACTGCTCCGTGCCTCCAGCACCTGCAAACAGGCAGGTTATGAGCAACACATCCCAATCCCAATCCCAATCCAACACAAATCACTGCTGCCCTGTCAGCTGTCAGACACACGGCTGCTCCATGAGGCTCCAACACGTGCCTGGGGCTTTACAAGGCTCCTGCACCAAAAAAAATCACAAAGCACAGAGCAGGCATTTTGTAACAATTTCACCTCAGAGTAACAACAACTTGACTTTCTGTCCGTTTTACTGCCAAAAGAAAATAAACCTCTCACTGTGTTTCCCCTTTGCAGTCGTTTTTACACCTATGTACCCACACGCTTTTCCTTTTTTTTTTTTTTTTTTTTACTTTCCAACAGCAACAGAAAAACATTTTGAAGGCAAAATGTTTGTTCCATTCATCTGGGAGAGCAACCAGCCAGAGTGGTGGAGGGTGAAGAAAGAACCCTTCTTACCAGGAGTGATCAGAGACCTGGACTGAACCGGCTGCTGTAAGTTTAATTCCCTGTTATTACAGCTACCTGCCTCATACAGCTTCGTTCATAATTTAGCAAGCTTTATCCTATGATTCCCTGAGTTTATTGTGTTCCCAAATAGTTCTGAATCCAGACCCTCACGTCTCCAGTATCCCGAAAATATTTCACTTCTAGCACAAATTAAATCACAGCCAGAAAACAGCAGCTTGTTCCTGTTCTGGTGCTGCCCCGGGGCTTAAATAGTTTCTCTCCTTCCCTGCTCTCTCTTTCTCTGAGGTTTCAGCATTTCTTATGATGTGAGAGCTCAGACTCCATCAGTCCTTCCCTGGTAGGTGGGCTGTTTGCCACCCTGATCATGCCACCAGCTGTTGGCTGTGCTGGTTTCATTTGAATTAGTCTCCTCTGGAAAAGGCTGGCTGGCATTTCACGAGGTATTTCAGATAAGGATGTGGGCTTTGCTCAAAGGGCTTAGTGCTTCCCCGTCCTTCCAGGAGATACCTGCTCCAAAATATCCTACAACCTCACTTGCCATGTGCATAGCTGGATCTTGGTGGCTCAGGACAACAAATCCAGGTATTAGTAGAGAGGATTAAACAAAATGTCTTGACTTGTGACAAAGCTATTTGCATTCTGTGGCCAGAATCCTGGAGAAAAACCAAAGGCATCTGCTTAGCTGGAGGATGAGATTTCTGACTGTGTCATGATTTTCACTAAAACTCACACCCTGAACTTGTTCCAGTCTTCAAAGTATTCGCTCACCATCACAGCAGCAATGACGAGCAGTCAGCCTTTCTTTGATTATATTCAACCTGGTTTCTTTACACTGCTCCTAAGCCACCAAATCTGATTAATGGCCAGTTTTAGAAACCAGTGGTGAAAGTCACGCCCCATTTCCAGTTGGAGGAAGTTTTCCCACTGCCAGTAGTGGGGTCAGACTTGCAGGTGGAGCTGCAAGTGCTGGGAAATGCTGGCAGTGTGTGAAAGGGGGGTGTGTGGGTGTGTAACCATCTAACAGGAGTGCTTGCTGTCTGAAATGCTTTTCTGCCAAATTTTTCTGGGGCTCTACCTTGCTCCCCTCTGTTTCTCCTCGATTAATAGATGGATAGATGAAAGATAGAAGGGAAATATAAAAAGGAATTACTGCCAGACTTTTTTTGAGGGATTCAGGAGAGAGCAGGGAATAAGAAAACCGCACGGCAAATTCTTCTGGGGAGCGTAAAGGCCTTTCCCATCAGGCTGCATGAGGACTGTTGCATTTGCTGTTCCTGGGTTTGTAAAAAGAAACTCAAGAGTGCCCAGGAGCTCCTGGTGCAGCCCCTGCCTCCATCACACAGCCAACCCTCTTGCCCATCTCTGTGTCACACACAGCTCAAATCAATGGCAGAAAATGCAAACCAGTAGAGCTCATCCTCAAATTTCCTGTAGCGATCCAAGAAAGCAGATTGACAACTGAAGAAAGACATTTTTAGGCTAAATGGATGATGAAAAGGAAACCCACAAATTGGAGAAAGTTTTGGGGTTTTTTTTTTTAGGCTTAATGGATGATAAAAAGGAAACTCACAAACTAGAGAAAGATGGTTTTTTTTAGGCTAAATGGATGATGAAAAGGAAACCCACAAACTGAAGAAACAGGTATTTTTAGGCTAAGTGGATGATAGAAAGGAAACCCACGAGTATTACAGTAAGAAAAGGGAGCACATTTGCATTGGCCTGTCACAAAGCAGAGCTAATTTCTGCTGCGTTTTGTGCAAGTCTGGAAGTCGGGGGGAAATTTTGTGGTGAACTTTATTTAATTTGAGAGTGATCTTTTACAATGGACTGGTGGGAGCAACGAATAACTCCGCCATTAAAACAGACGGGAAATTCTTCATTTGTGTGGTAAAAATTGGTGCTATCCTGTCTTTGCTAGTCCTGATGCTTTTAGGACCAGGTGAGACAAGCCACGAGTCTAACCAGCACTTTGGCAAGCTTAGCATGGAACGGTTGATGATTTTGATAGACGGGAAAACATGGAAAAGAATGTTGTGGTGAAAGAACAATAACTCAGTATTTTAGTGTGAAAGGTTGGCAGTGACATAGTTAACCCCATCAGCATCAGTGTTGTCATGGCTTTGATTTCAAAGCACTAGATGGGAATAAAGCGTTCCCCTGATGGTGTTTGTTACGGGCTGTCAGCACACTCAGCTGACATTTCATTTCTTTCTGCGTGGTTTGGATTTGCAAGATTTTTCTGCCACCTACCCCTGCCCCTGGGCTGCATTACACCAGTAGGGACCTTCAATTCAACAGAAATGAAAGAAAGAAAATTAATGCAGCTATTAACACATATAAACATCTTAATGGGGGAGTAAAACCCTATACGCTGTGATCATGAGGGCATTAGGAATGTAAATAGACAACTTTTCCCCTATTGACACTGTATATGGTAAACAGAGCAATTCTTTATGTTTCTAATACTCATCCTTTCCTTTCTCCCTGCTGGTGAAAGCGTGGCCATGTTTCAAGCAATGGGGCTGATATATTTTTAGCAGAAATCTTCTTTAACTAAGTCGTCAGAGTCAAATCAGCAGCTGACAAAATATAAGCCTTATGAAACTGGGCTGATGGTGTTATTTGTAGAATGGGATTTTTAACTGAATGGCAGTTTTTTTTCAGTCTTTGAGTCTCTTTTCTCACAGTCTTTGAGGGGGACTGCTCTCCAAAATGTGGCTGAAAGGAGTTTGGGAGTCTGTCTGCACCTCTCCACTACTCCCCGTGGGTTTTCTCTAGGGCAAAGGAGCTTTAAAAACGGACAAACAAAACCAAGAAGGACAAGGTTGACCTTTCTGAGGGAGCTCAGAGTTACCCCCGGGGATGTCTCTGTGTTTTACCAACCACCAGCCACACTTTTGGCTCAGGCCTCACCTTTCTGCCACACCCTACCCCTGGCTCCGCTCTCCTCTGCTTTGTGTCTCGTCTCCCCTGGGAACTTGAACTGTGGAAGCAGGATTAAAAGCTGAAGGAAGTTCATGAACTTTGAAAAGCTTACTTCCTTTCAAGAAAAAAAGAAACAGCTATGGCTGTGTTATAACAAGAAAGGACTCCACTTAGTTTTTACCTACCCTCATTCTCTGTTTATACGGAGGTGATACACAGATAGATGTGTGAGTACATAAAATGCAGGATAATATAAGGACACAGTAGAGTATCTTTTTTTAAATGCAGTTTATATAACAAGAAGGGCAGGGAACCCAGTTTTAAACCACTAAACCTTTTACAGATCTAAATTTTGTTATTTCAGGGCTCTTTTATAGAGTCACAATAACAGAAAATCCTGCTGCTATTAAACGGCTCTTCTGCCTGAAGTGAAGCTGGACCCATGACCAGTCCAGACACATTCCCAAAACCCTGCAGTGCTGCAAATGCTGCTCAGACAAGGGAGAGGATCTGGCTACTCCCTTTACTGGGTACAGCTGGGAGGTGGAATGGGAAGATCCCGGTGTCATATCCACTGTTTGACACTGGTGGGTACTTAGATCAAAGCCAATAAATTGGGAAGGGCTGTTTAAGATGTACAGTTACAATGCACTTACAGTTGTACAAGTCAAATAATGAAAGCATCTGACGGTTCTAGGCTAAGTAACAAATTGTATTAGCCACAGGAATGCATAATAGCACCCCGTAGATATGCAAAACTTATTCACTCGTTTTCAAAGGCCACTGCTGCTTTCTGATTCACACCTACAACTAATTCCTGGCTGCTACTCATTTCCCAGCAATCAGTAACACAGATTCGAAAGGCCAAGGGTACACATGCAGACTGGCTTTTGCTGGTGCAGGGTATGAGAACTTCTCATTATTTGTTACAGGCTCACGAGGCTGATTTAGAAACCCCTCTTTCTTCTGAAGCCCATTTCAGCCTTCACAGGCTGATGAAAAAAGCCCCAGCACGCTCCTCCAGTGAAGATTACCCAGACTTGCAGGCAAGGATTTAGCCATCCTAATACAAGAGCCCAACTTCTATTCTTTTTTTTTTTTTTTCCTCCTTTCTTTTTTTGTTGACCAATCAATTCAACAACACAGGCTGGATGGTGCCTCAAGGGCATCGCTTTCAACCACGTGATCGGCAGATTAACAGAGAGGCTGCAAAATCCTTTCCGCTCAAACTGTTTTAACAGAGGATCAAAATCTTTCTCTCTGCGTGGGGATTTTTATTTAGCTAGTTCGTTTTATTCAGTTTGCACACGTTTGGGAAGGAATTAAGTCCCACAAGGACACGCAAGATGGGCTGGTTTGCTTTCTAGCCTTTTCCTTTTGTGTTTGGGAGGAGAACACTTTCCAGTTCCTTGTGGGAATGTTGCCTCTTCCCTGAGTGTTACAGTTGCATCGTTATTGGTTGAATCTCATCAAGCCTACAGATAATGGCCCTGAAAGGACATAACTTAAAACGTTTTGCCAAAGCTTCCCCTTTTCCCTGCCGTGGCTCTTGTTTAGGGACATGGAGGTGTTGAACTAGGCTGATACAATCTGCAGGGGAAAGGTTTGGGGAAGACAGGAGCTGGGTGAGTCCTGTGGGGACACAGGAGATTTACAGAGCTCTGCTGAACAATAAAACAAGAGATTAAATTTGATCACATGAATAAAATAAGCAGCAATTAACCGTTTCTTGGCCACAGCAGTCTGGCTCTGGGGAAGCTGATGTGCAAACTTCAACACAGAGGTACATGGGGGTTCCTGCTGCAATCCCTGATATTTAATGCCCAGATCCCAGAGCCGTGCAGGTACAACTGCTGCTGATGGCAAAGGGTGCATTCAGTGCTGTAACACAGGAGTGTTTTTACTGGAGAAAACAGGACTCAAAAAAACCCCAAAACAGAGCAGAAAAGCAGACGGCCTCATATCTGTCTGAGGCACAAAAGCACACCTGGAGCTACAGAGATTGAGGATCACATGTGAAGGTTGACACCCAGCATGGCCAAGAGGTTTCTCTGGCTCTGGCATGTGTTGAAACAAAACCAACCCACTGGCTCAGCTGC